CATGAACCCTCCGGAGTTTTATGGCTCCAAAGTGGAGGAAGATCCTCAAGGTTTTATAGATAAGGTGTATAAGTTGCTTGCCATCATGGGATTAACTTTGGTAGAGAAACCAGATCTAACCTCTTATCAATTGAGGGATGTAGCACAAATTTGGTATGAGCAGTGGAAAGATAGTAGGCCGGTAGAGGTGGGTCCCATAGATTGGGAGATGTTTAAGGAGGATTCCTTGAAAGGTTATTTCCCCTAGAGTTGAGGGAGCTAAAGATGCAAGAGTTCATAAATTTTAAGCAAGGGGGTATGAGTGTAAACGAGTATTCCCTTAAGTTCACCCAACTCTTCAAATATGCTCCAACCATAGTGGGGGATCCTAGGGCTAAGATAAATAAGTTAGTGATGGGAGTCTCTAAATTAGTGGTCAATGAATGTCGTTCGGTAATGCTAATTCCTAGTATGAATATTTCCCGTCTCATGGTGCATTCTCAACAAATTGAGGAGCAAAAGCTTAAGAAAACAAATAGGGAGTGGAAAAGAGCTAGATCCGATGATGAGAACTTTCCTAATGCTAAGTCCGATGGACAAGGTAGGCCTAGGACTAAACCAAAGTATTTCGGCCAAGAATCTCCATTTCCTAAGCCTAGTTGCACCAAGTGTGGGAGGAATCATCTTGGTAAGTGCCTAGCCGGCATGGATGGTTGCTTTGGGTGTGGGAAGGATGGGCATAAAATGAGAGATTGTTGGGTCCTTAAAACTAAAGGAAGAGAGGGTAAGAAAGTTGACTCTAGTGGTGTTGATGAGGAGCCTCGAAAGAAGAATAGGTTTTATGCTCTCCAATCTATAGAAGATCAAGAATGATCTCCTCATGTCCCTTCTGGTATGTGTTTATGTTTTAGTAAATTTCTGGATTTCTTGTCTTTTATGACTTGTTATGATGGACTTGAAGTTGTCATTATTATGAGCGGTGCTTCATTGTTGCCTTATGTTATGAATTATGTTTAGAAGAACTTGTGTAGGGTTACTCCCAAGTGGGGGATAGTGTGCCTATCTAGTAGGGTTATTATGTGTTGCCATGATTTCCTTATATGCATGTTCATGAAAATGTTAAGTTCTTGTTAGAAATTACTTATATGCATTGTTTTCCTCATGTTGTAGTGCATTTGAGTATATTTGCATATATACTTCATGAGTTGAGTTATGAGCATGCCTTACTTCGGAGTTGAAAGGTTTCCTCCTTGAATAAATGCTTTTTGAGAGAAAGTTAAATTTTGGCCCCAAGGAAAGCCTCCCAAAAGGCAAAGGCACCTTCACAGGCCTTCCCACGAGCCGGGGTCAAGACCACTGGCCATGGTGGTGTCCATGAAGCTGGGGCAGTGCTTGCCACGATTGGGGCAGCCTTGGACTTTGGCTTAGGCTTTGCCCCTTTACTTTGGCATTGACCTTCACTCTTGTATCCCTCAACTAAACTCTAGATTGTATACTAAGCTACGGGGTGTAATAATATCTCCCCCTTTGGAACATTCATCCTAGAATGACACTTTAGGCACTTCTTAAGGTCACAACTCTAGACTAGCAACCCATCATGCATGCAACTCATCTAAATGCACATAAACAAAAGAGGAAAACTTCAACTCCAAGATAAACATATTCAATGCAACACAAAGAAGTAGGAACTACATTTAACAACCCATTATGCATGAATTTCTCATAACTAGTAATGTTCAAGGAGGAACTATCATCTCCTAGACATAACATGCTCGACATACTCTCATGGAGCCTATAAGCAATTTACTCTAAAAAAGCATTCATTTAAGGAGGAATCTTGATGAATGTATGATTTGGACTAATTTAGGGCTTTATTTGTATAGGCTTCATGTCCTTAAATGTTGATTTTGTGCCACAACTGATGTGAAATCCTTGATTTCCAGATATTTCGATTGAGGAACAAAGTTAGGAGAGAAATGGGCAATAGAGACAACGCGAGCGAAAAAGAGAAGGGAAAAACAAGCCTGATTATTGCCGATATCACTCGGTCACTCGCCAAGTTGCCACTCTACCACCGAAAGTTATAGAATGCTGAGGCTGGATTAGGGGTAACTTTAGTGAGAATCAGCTTTATTCGGTGTGACACCGATCACATCGGCGATGAATGACCTGATCACCAAAGTACTGATGCGAGAGGAAAGGAAAAAGGGCGCACTGTGGAATCACTCGGTGATCCCGATCTAGCTCGCCTAAGGTTATAGTGGTTGGACTAAGAAGAGGTGAAAATGAAAGCGAGACGAAGGAAAATTGGCGAATCGCAGAATGGTCGGCGAAGCCCGACTTACCTCGTCGATTGGTCCCAAATAGCCACACATCAAATTTGAATAAATTGATTTTTGGAAGAGACTTCGACACAGAGTTAGAAAATATTTAAACAGGGGCAGGAGAAGTCCTGGGTGTAAAATTGCTACACCAAAACAGTTGGTGAAGTGCGCACCCAATCAGGCGGTTCACTGGAAATGATGCATAGATGGTACAATGATGCAGATGAAGGGCGTAAAATAAATCTTTTGGTGAGTCGCAGAGTATACTTAGCGACATTAGGATTACCGCCAATAGTTACAAATCAAACAAAGTATGCAGCACTTAGTTAACGGCGAACTACGGACATTAGGAGAAATGCAGAGCAGTTAGGCAAGCTTTACTGGGCTCGCCAAATAGCCCAACGTAGACATTTTTAACCCATTTCTTTCAAATTCAGCCCCGCAACCTCTGATAGCATAGTTCAAGCCTATAAGGCATAAGAGCATTGAAAAGCCATAGCAATTTTACACTCCCTCTGTAAATTAATTCACTTTTAAATGCATGTGAACGAGAGTCCATCATTTAAACAAGAGTTATTGAACGGTAATTGAGAATGTATGTAATTCAATCAGCTCAGAGAGACTTATCAATGATTCATATTATGCAAATGAGTACAAATTTAGATAAAATAACGGAGTGGTTCGATTACCAACCTTTGGTGCTAAATTAGATTGTACTGACATACTAGGTAGTGATGCGATCCAATTCTGAGCACAATTTTACAGCTAAAATACTCTAAAGATGCAAGAAATATAAAGCTAGAATGCAAGTGTGAGTTTGATAGGATGAAGAAGTGAGAGAAAGGGGATGAAATAGAACTTTTAAACCGGTGGATTGCAGAAACCGTTCAGTTGCTGCCCATTCGGCGATGTGTATCAAGCTCGCCCATTCACTCGGCTACGCGCCGAGTGTCTAGTGACATCGCCAAATGTAACAGGAGCTACAACTTATGTGGGGATTTCAACGGCGGTTTACGTCGAGATCACTGACATGGTCGGCGATGCGCCACTAATTTTCTACAAACCGCTGAGTTTTACAAATCCAAGTTGACAGTGTCTTGAATCATACAGTGACAACAAGGAATGTGCTTGCCGATCTTGTCGGTGATCCGCGAACTGGAATTGTTGCTTGCTTCCATACACTATTTCAATTACCTCCCTCGTTTCAACATATACAAACAACACAATTATTTTCTTCAAGCAAAACAAAGCAATAAAGGGTTTTGGGTTGCCTCCAAAACAGCACATTAGATAATGTTGTGGCACGATGCAAGTCAACCGTCAAACCTCACTCTTGGGGTTAGCCATAGTATCACTAGGCAAACCCCCATGCTGTCTTGGGTTAAGATGAGACGATATATTGTAACGATATGTTGATGTGCATTTAGTTGAATTGTCTGTATGCTTCATGAGGATAAATGTTGAACATGCCTAAATATGCTTTAGTGAAAATTTGCCTAATTGTGCTTTTGAGAGTAATTGCATAATGAGCTTAATGTTTTGTAGTGAGCATGATGTGATTGGAGAAGGAAGTTTCTCTCCAATGAAAAAAAAATGAGAAAGGGGAAGTTTTGATGCACAATAAGTTTGTGGATGTAGTTCCTACTTGCTTGATTGGTATGAAGTTTGTTTGAGCCTCTTGATGTGAAGTTGATGGTTCCTCCTATGGTTAAGCATTTATGTTGATGTGTTATGATTGTTGGGCTGGTAGTCTTGAGTTGTTTTTACCTTAATGTGTTTAAAGTGTCATTCGAGGACGAATGTTCCTAAGTGGGGGATAATGTAACGACTCGGAAAATGATAGAATGAACTGGAGCCTTGACGTTTGGGTTATTGTGAGCTTAGGTTGATGTTTATGCTGTTTTAGAACTTAAATGGAGCTAGGTAGGCATCCTAGGGTGCAAGCAAGGGCCTAGGCTAGCGAGTTAGGGTGAAAGAAGCCTTGTCCTTGGAAGGACTGTTTGGCGATAGGGCTGCTAGATCGCCTAAGGGGTTGGCGAGTCGCCCTTATGCCCTATGGTCGCCTAGTGGACTGCCCATTTGACCAGCCTTTGAGTGATCCCACTGGAATAGACGGGCAATGGGCAGATTTTTAAAGTTACAACTTTTAGGGTCAACTTCAAATGATGGTATCTTTTAGCTCAAAACGAATTAGGTGGACCATTACCTCTCCAATTAAAGGTATCTGAGTCCTCTTTCCAACGCCACCGAGTTTGCCCTTTTCCGATCTAGGAGTAAAATGTTATGACCAAAATAGTGAAGCACTGTCAAAAAGGACGAGCTTAGACGGGTTTAGTGAAAACTTTTAAGTTTAACTTTGTGGGTCCTTAATTCTTTTCCTAAGTGGAGTCCCTATTATTATATGCCTTTCCTAGAAATTATAAAACTCTTCTAGACCAAAATTCTTCCTTTTAAGTCACTCCAATTAGAATTAAAAAGAAACCCACCTCCTCTCAAATATTTCTCGCTCTAAAATCCTCCATTAAAGAAGGTCAAGAACTTGTAACTAGGGCTTGGATTGAAGGTGGTATCTTCATAAAATTCCTTGGGGAATCTTAACAAAGGTATGGTGATCCTTGATTATCTTTCCTTCAAGGAGTCCATTAAAAAGGGTTTCAAAAGTCTTCAAAGAACAAAACTTCTTTTATCTATTCTAGGTATGGGTTCATGGGTAAAATGTTTTCAAAGTCATTATATTGGTGAATTGAAGTTCTATTTATGATTTTAAGATGATTTTATATGAAACTTCTTCAAGAACCCATGTTTATATTAAAAGCCTAGAATTTGCTTATGAAGTGGGTTTAATGCCTATGATTTAATGTTGATGAAATTGTGTTTAGATTGGATTGTATTGTTCATTTATATGGTTTTCTATACCTATTTATGATGAATTGTATACGGATAAATTGAGGATTGTGGCCTTATGGGCAAGTTATGGGTGAATCACCTTGTGGTGATAGAATTGTTGGGAATTGAGTAATGGTGATTATGGCTTTGGAGGATGGTAAGTTGACTTAATCTCATGTTATTAGTAGAATTGTTCTTGATGATGATCCACTTGAAAGGTGGAGGTGTTTACTTATTTTGTACATTGTGACCATGGCCTTGAAGGCATAGTATGAGAAATTTAAGTGTTACATGACATTTTATGAATGGACATTCAATGGAGCTAATGTGATCATGTTATGAACGTAAATGTGTTATTATTGAAAGGCTTTTTCTCAATTTGACACTCATGAATGTTGATGATAGAATATGAAGGATTGTCCAATGTATTGCATATCTCGAATCGGTAGAGCTTGTGCATCCTTTTCTTGTTTAAATGATTATATTGTTGGCTATTGAATACTCGGATCGGTAGGCTAGTAGCACCCTTCCACTCATGATAATAATGAACCTTGGAATCAGTAGGCTTATCGCACCGTTCGACTAATGATAGTAATGAACCTTGGAATCGGTAGGCCTATGGCACCTTTCCATGAAGGTTAATGATGAGACTTGAACCGGTAG